CGTGCATCAACACCGCCACAATCGCATCGTGGGTCGAGTAGACAAACACTTTAACCCCTGAATCAATGCCCAAATTCCCGGCAACTTTGCGGCGAAAATTTCCCGTCAACTCCGCCCACAGTGGGCCGGCTTTCAGGCGCTGAACAACACTACTGTTCCACTCCTGAAACCACAGGAGCTTTGCCAACGGTTTCATAGCTACAAACATCTGGTCCTCCCATTCCCTACTCCACACCCCCTTCGCCGACCACAGGCGGCCCCTCTCGGCCTCCACCCACAGGTGATCGTAAACATTCTTGGCGTCCAATAGGTTGCCAATAGTGGCCGGCATTGACTGCCGGAGTTTGTCCATCACATCGCGGGCCGCGTTCATAGCCTCGGCGACTGACGCTTCGTTGAATAAGTCGGTGATCGCCCGGTCAGCCGCCGGACACGGCTCGTCCGTACGGAGCAGTCGGTCGTCGTTCATACGCTCGCGCGGATAGGTATAGATTGGTATCGGTTGCCAGCGTTGACCCAACGGTGCCGTCGAGTCCACGTCCCACTGGTGTGAGGGGTTGTCGGGCGGGTACAGACCGGCCAACAATGTGCTAACACTGTCCAAACATCGGGATTTGGCCGACGATCGGGCGTACACTTCGCGCGGACTGTATGTTTGGCTCAGGTATGCCGAGTAGTGTTGGCGCAGGTATTGGCCGACTTTGTAGCACCGGTACCGACCCTTAGCCGAGAGTTCGGCGATGCCTTCCGGCCAGTTAGCCGTGTCTTTGTACGGGTCGTTGGCGTAGATCTTGGTGATGGCCCGGTCTCCGTGCCGGTGCACCACTTGTAGTAGTTTGAGCGTGGCCATATTGTCATTGTCCCATAGGTATGCACCAGGTAGTTGTGTTGTGGCTATTGTTGTTAGCACTAGTAGACCCAAATTGACCATGTTTATAAGTAGTTGGTTTTAATTAGTGTATAAATAAAAAAATATTAATATATAACTTATTTTTCTAAATATTGATTTATTATTTTTGCATTTAATAATAGAAATGTCTAAATTAGTTAACTGTACAAATGTTGTAAAAATTATCATTTTTTATTGCAATAGTAAAATAATTTATTGTTTGGTGAACACTGGATGGTGACATATAAAGTTAGTTTGTAAAAACATACAAGTGCACACATTGGCACGTAATGGTGATTTAATTAGTGTTAATGTTATAAAATTGACAAAATTGTGACTTACTTAATGTGAAGCCATAGGAAATATAATGCTTTTGTTATGTCCAGATTGCTTGATCAATGTCGAGAATCTAGATTGTTTAGTATACAGGTAAGATTATACTATTGTGCAAATAACATGAAAACTTACAAGCTATTTGTTATTTTTAGTTTTATAAATATAAGTTGCCATTTATTATTTTACTGTATTAATTTTTACAACATTTTCCCAGATTGTGAATCTACAAATATTTTAATTAATATAAAATTAATTAATTTATTATACATTTAGTACGTCAATTGATTTTATCTTTACAAAATTTTAGTTAATTTATACAGTAGTTTATATTAAATTATAGCTATTAACTAAATATAACATGACAAAGTAAAGTCTTTATATAAAACCCCTAAACTAATCTTAAAACTTTTGCAATAGTAATATAAAATAATTATTTATTGTCTGAAAATAAAATAATTAAATATATCTTAAATATTTTTACAATCATAGATAATTACTACTTTAAATTATTAAACTACAAATTATATTAAATACATTCTATTATATTTTATATAATATTTATTACATTAATTAAAAACAATATCTTTGCAATTCTTTTATATAAGTAAATAAAAGTAATATTTGTAATTAATCTAAAAAGCTATTTTTAAATAGATTATTTGTATAGTTGTTAATTTTAAACACTAAAAATATATTGATTTAATAGATATGCTGAATAACAAGAAACTTTACAAACAATGAACACAATAATAACCATGACGAAATAACCCGTATATGTTGGCTACCATTACTAACTTCTTTATTCTTACACTCTTTGGCCCAGTCGTCAGGTATCATAGGTTTAGTCAATTGCTTAAACCTATCAAAGGGACAGTCGGCCTGACCATCGCAACCGGGCAATGTAAACAAATACGGTTGTTTACCCTCTTGCAATGTCGCATTATAGTAATACAAGCGCACAAAATGACCCTCAGCACCGGTAACGCCCAATTTCTGGTGCAACTCAAACAAGAGGGTAGCGCTGAAGGGGACGATCGCGTTGTTATAGACGTCCAGCGCCCGCATTAGCACCGATACCACCGCATCGTTAGCAGAATAGACATTGAGCTTTGTTCCCGAATTATCGGAAATTCCCGACTTATTCCCGGACACTTTATGCTCGAAATTGGCGGTCAACTCACCAACAAGTGGACCCGCTCTCAGGCGCTGAACCACTTTACTGTTCCACTCCTGAAACCAGAGGAGCTCTGCCAGGGGTTTAAGGGCCGCAAACACCCCAACCTCAAACTCCCGACTCCACACCCCTTTGGCCGACCAGTGGTAACCCCTCTGGGACTCGACCCACAGGTGATCGTACACTGCCTTCACGTCAAATAAGCTCCTGATTTTGGCGCCCATAGTCTCATTCAGTTTAACCAACAACTCGTTTACCCCGTCTAGTGCTTTGACCACTTCAGGCGTATTTAACATCTGGGTAACAATTTTGTCGGCCACCGCACACTTACGGTCCGTACGCAACAGTAAGTCATCGTTCATACGCTCCTTCGGATAGGTATAGATGGGTATTGGTTGCCAGGACTGGCCTAACGGCACAGTCGAGTTCGTGTCTCCCCACTGGTATAGGGTGTTGTTGGGCGGGTACAGTCCGGCCAACAACGTGGTCACACTGTCCAGACATCGGGATTTGGCCGACGATCGGGCGTACACTTCGCGAGGGTTGTAGTCGTGGTCCAAGTATTGGTCGTAGTGATGGCGTATGTATTGGCCCAGTTTGTACGCCCTGTACCGACCCTTAGCGGACAGTTCGCCGAGCCCTTCGGGCCAGTGAGCGAGGTCTTTGTACGGGTCCTTGTCGTAGATCTTGGTGATGGCCCGGTCTCCGTGCCGGTGCACCACTTGCAAAAACTTCAGGGTAGAAATATCGTGATTGTCCCATGGGTATGCACTTGGTATTTGTGTGGCAGCTATTGTCACCACCAATAGTAGCAAAAACATCATGGTGAGTTAATGTTGTATATCAATTGTGTGTAAATTATTAACAATGTTCAAATAATTAGTATAAGATATAGCAATACAATAAGAACTTTAGTATGGTCATAGTTCAAAGCCCTTATTTATATTAAATTTTATTATTACAGTATTATGTAAGAATATGGATTACCTGGACAACATAAAACACTAGGTCACATTATATTGGAAATTATCAGCATAGTGATTTATACATTACTAGGAAAGTGTACTTTTAAGACACTTAGTACATTGATTTGTATTGTACTACAATAGTTACACTTGTGCTTTTTATCATGTAATGATTTGTTAATGAATAACATAGATTCTCCAGCACTGCTTAAATGTACTAGTACATTCGGACCTCTCAATATGATGCTAACAAATAAAATACAATTTACAAACTATCTGTTTTGTACAATTGGAGATCAAAAATTAATTTTTATAAACATTGTTATATAAACTTTATTTATATTAAAACACTTTTTAGAAAACTGTTTGCTAATAAGATGTGCTGTCCAAAATAAAGTTTCTTATAGAGAGATTGTACTGTATATTTAGTCTATATTAGTGCATTTAACTATAATAGTATAAGAAGACCTATCAATACTAGTTCATGTCCAATAGTCATGTGCACTTATTGTGTGCCAAAACTTTACTAATTGAGCTTTTTATCATGTATTAATTTTGTAAATAAATTACATGCATTGTTTATTACAAATTGAATGTAATGTATACTATTTTTGTTGCAGTTAAATCACTATAAAGTTAGTTAAGAATACTTTATTAATATTAGTTCATTATTAAATCTAATTGATTGTGATAAGAAATTAACTAACTTGTGCATTTTCTAAATAGATGGCTATAAATATAATATTTTTGCAGTAATAATAATTTTAAATTTTTAAAATTTTATTTGGTGTATCAAATTAATTAATTATTGACAACAATTTAAAAAATTTATCATTCTTATATTTATAAAAATAAAAACTTTTATTGTGTCTTATTAATAAAATATAAAATAACATTGTACAATTAACTAAAGATTTTAATTTTATAAATAATTTTATAAAAACTAGCATTAGTTTTAACATGATAAATTTTTACAAGTAATATTGTATGTTTATTATTTTTTTTAATAAAAAATAATTAGTTTTAAATCTATTGAAAAACTCACAAATAAAACTTTTAAATAAAATAAAATAAGCATAAATGTAATTAAAAGTGTAAAAGATATATTAAAACATATAAAAATATCTTTATATTTTATTACAAACATGTAATAAATATTCACTTTTATAAAAGTTTTATTTAATATTGCTCAATAATACTTAACATATAAAAAGTGTAATTTTCTTCAAACAAACATAGAGAGAATCACTGCTATAATGTACTCGTCATTACCAACATTAGTATTATGGATATTATATTTCCAATGCCTACAAACTGTGCACTTGTGGTCGGGACACGACATTCAAACATTAAAACTACTGCAAGTAGTCCACAGACACGGCGACCGAAACCCGGAAAACTGGTTCCCAAATGACCCCTACCTTCTGGCCAACGATAAGGACCACGAGATATGGCCCGAAGGGGACGGCGAGCTAACAACCGCTGGTAAATATCGTATGTACAGGGTGGGCAACTACATACGTGCAAACTATGACTCGTACCTTGGCACGGATTACTCACCGCGCGAGATATACGCCCGCAGTTCTGCGCAGTCGCGGTGCTTAGAGTCCATACAAATGGTATTGTCCGGGGCTTATCCGCCCACAACAGACCGATGGAAGTGGAACCTCAAGCCCGATGCAGAGTTGGGTTCCGTATGGCAGCCCTTTCCTGTCTATACCTACCCTCTGGAACGAAAAGATGATGATAAAATACTCAGGTCAGACTATGACTGTCCCAAAGCTGATCAAGCTTATTTAGATTATTTAAAATCTGAGCAAGCCATGGCCATAATGAACAGGGAAAAGGATTTTCTCACTTATCTAGAAACAAGGATCACACAACGATGCTATACGTTAACCACTATTCGGGAAATGCATCAAACATTTTAAATTTTTCACTACTATTGTTGGAATACTTTCACTATTATTATTT